AAGGAAGGAAGGAAGGAAGGAAGGAAGGAAGGAAGGAAGGAAGGAAGGAAGGAAGGAAGGAAGGAAGGAAGGAAGGAAGGAAGGAAGACCATACCAGAAGAAGGCGGTGGCAAAACACTTCCTTAACTCTGATGCTGCTTAAACTTCATGGCTGTCATCTTCAACAGCAAGCCTGAGCAAAGAATATCTTCACTTTTAAGTAAAGATAAAGATTTCCCCTGCCTGTCAAATCTAATGCTAGGAGGTGGTTCTCATCTCCAATTACAGCCAAAGAGCCAGCATTGTTCAAAGATGTTTCCTTGGTCGTGTGGCCAGCATGGCTCTACGCCGAAGGTATACAGAACATTGCGACCCTCCTGCCAGGTGGCACCTATTTATCTACTTGCATTTGTATGCTTTCAAACAGTCGGTACTGGGGTGAGAACCCGGCTGTCAGCTTTCCAGTTGACAAGCTCAGCAACTTTAACTGAGAGCCATCTCACCCCTATTTTTTCACCTTTGCCCTGTAATAAAGATTCTGTTTGAGGAGCATGATTTTTGTATTTAGCAAAGACCAAGGCGCATAAAGAACCAAAATGTCTTTAATGTTCTCATCTAAGGTTTATCAATAGCTAGTTTTACTTCTTTTGATAAGATGTGGGTAGAACAGGTGGTTTGTGATATCCCTATCAAAGACAGCAAAATAAATGAGTACTTGTTAATGTAATAAAAATCCTTTAATTCCATATGCCATTTCCTTAAGGAAATCTTTATCTTTCAGCAACTCTATACTGTATTCAAAACTACCTAGACACCTTTAAAGGCTTGTCAGATACAATTGTAAGAGATATGAAAGCATGATACTAAACTATAATTGGTCTGTTCTCACCTGCTGTCAGCCCCACTAAATAGACAAGACTAAGAAATCCACTCCACAGGAAAGCTAAAACTGCTTTGATTTTATTGGCTACAATGACAGAATCTTTTAAGTCTACCTGTGCTGCACCTCTTTCTCCTTCTTATACACCAATGAATTAGGAAGGTGTCTGTCTGAGGTGCTCCCAAGTGTTCTCTAGCTTTCTGGACTTTAGACATGCTTCAGTGCCTTTTGCCAAGGCAATGGATACCTGTTTATCTCCATCAAGGTCACCTTCTTTGCTCTTTACATTTGCTTTAACTTTAGTATCAAAGAAGGAAAAATCACAGGAAATAAACTAGACAAAAACAGTGCAAGGAAGAATTGAGTACATATTACTTTGCTGCCCATTGGGAAGAATTAACAGAACACCAAATAATATAACTCGGATAAATTTAGACATATAATCACAAAACAACCTGAAGCCTAAAAATTTAAATTGAGTGACTAGAAAAATGATACAATTTGATGAACATTAAAGTAAAGCTTCAATTTCAACTACCACTTCAATTTCAACTACTTGAAATTGCATTGTTTGTATCAATTTATGTGTTTGCAAATTTATGTATTTTCATATACAATTTAGAAATATAATGTAATCTGAAATAAATTTTAATTGCCTCATCCAGATTACTAATGGACATCTGTTATTTTGTGGGGAAGTCTAGATGGAAATTTTGTCCATGTATCCAGTGTTGTAGCCTCCTGACTAAAGTTGTATCTCCCTCAACACCCAAAGTAGTACAAAGGCAGAAAGTACATTAAGGTGGCCACAGGGAAGTAAGTATCTGTAGAAATGGCTTGTGAATGAAGAACTACCTCATCTGAGCTACAAAAAAAATCCACTATGTGACAGCAGAAAGAACCTAAAAACTCTAATTCTTTGCTTGATGTTATCATGATTTCTAAATACCAGATATGGCAATCCTAAGATATACATGGATTTGATATGAAGACCAGACAGTGAAAGTAAATCTCTTAAATAGTTTGCACTCTAGGAATTCTACGAAATTGAAGAATTTCAGCAACATTGGTGAAAGAGAGGAAACCTCAGCAGGATCAAACAAGGTTCTAATTGCTAAACTCAAAAATATCCCTCTAAGAAACTGATTCCTGGTTTTTAGGAGCACCTGTTCAAAGAAAATATGCTAAAATGGTTATATAAACTTGGACAGTGTCCTTTCAAACTAATTAGAAACTGGCTTGCCAAATGTTTACTAATTACACAAATCCCTTGTTCTGTAGAGCTAATGAAAAAAGTCAAAATACTTTTTAGTAAGTCTCATTTTTAAGGAAATAATAATCATCTTTATTAAATTAAATTGCTAATTTATTCTATTCTTTGCTAGCTTTTATACCATGTTTCTCTTTTCTGCTAACATTCCTCAGTAGACCATACTCTTATAATCATCATCCTTTTATTAGGAATGACAAAATAGTGTTTACTTTGGGGAGGACTGTACAGGAACAACATTGTAATTATAACTGTATCAGGGACTACATCGTAATGCTGTAGTATATGCTAATATCCTGCATTGGGTTTAGATATTAACATTAATGGTGTATTATCATTTTGCAATGTTTTGAGTCAGTGTATTGTAGTATTAAAAGTATAAGATATTGAGTCAGGAAACTCATATTTAAGATCCACTGGTTTGGCCAATGGCTGATTTTGGATAGTCACTCTTACTCAGCCTAATCTACCATAAGGATGTAGCATGAGAGATGGAGGAACAAACTGTAGAAAGCAAAGAAGGAGACCTTGAGGGAGAAAGGGAAGGTCTGTAACCAAGGCAACAATTGGATCATAAATTGTTTCAGCTCAGGGGGTGTTACAAAAAGGACTCAGATAGCCCCCCCCCCCCCAAATCTCAAGAAGTTTTTAAAAAGGGAGGAAAGGAAGCATATTCAGACTTGCCAGGCTCAATTAATATAGCCAATCTTAATAAAAGTAGTATTGGAGTCTGTTTTTCATGTTCTACCTTGTATGGCTGACAAACTCTCTGGTAGAATAAGATTGAATCAATTAGGATTGGCACGATTGGCAACTTGCAGATATAAACCGCTTACATGTGTTCCCCTGTTCAATTCATGATCGCTCACTCACACAATCTGTTGAGGCTTGTGAATCTTGTTAAGACTCCCTTTGCTTTCCAACTAGGTTTTCCAGGTGGGTGCAGCTAAAGGCAAGACGCACATGATATACAATTATTTCAACAGCCAGGAGACAGTTAGGGACACATTTAAATACAATCACTTTTAGAGATTACTGAGGCCAAACAGGTTCTTTGGAATATATGGAATACAGTTTGGAATACATGGACATCCAACTACAGTTTGGGGTAGTGAAAGCATCAGAAACTGGAAAACTGTGAGTTCTAGTCCCATCTTAGACATGAAGCCAATCTTTGCTCAAATCCTCCACCTTGATCCTTCACAAAAAAAGCTTGAAACTAATGTGCAGTTATCTTAACCTTTGCCAGCTGTGAAATGCAGAGAACAGCACAAGCTCCATTTTTCCTTCCACTGACTGGTAGAAGCATGCAGTAAATTTCCAGTTAGCGCCTACCTTCTGAACTACCACCCTTCCTGCAGTCATTCCCACTCTATGCTGGGAGGGGCAGGTGAAGAAAATTGGTAATCCTGATCCCCATCTGTGTTTATATGCATTTGTCTAATACTTTGTAGAAACTAAACAAAACAAACAAATTAATAGGACAGGAGGTTTTATATGGGAATGATTACTGTAAAGAAGTGCATTGAAATTTTCCAAGGTTCCCTCAGCCACTTTGCTGCCATTCCTCTGTTAAGTTTTAAAAGACAATCTTGCAAACAGGCACTTTTCTCAACGTTGTGATCATAGCCGCAAGTTGCTATGACAGCAAAATTGGGAGAGATAGAAGATAAAATCTAAACAATGCATTTAGGAAGAAATGTGTCCCCAGAATTAAATAATGAACCTCAACTAGAGTAGAAGCAGGAGAGGGGAAAAACAATGGCTATCTTAAGTCCAGAAGGTGAGAAGCAGAGAAAGGTAAAATTTCCACAAATAGGGAAACAAATTGCCAGAAACTCTGAAATATGGCTTGCACTAGGGCAGGCGTGTCAAACTCAAAGCCCACTGGCCAGTTCCGGCCCATGGGACTGCCCTGGAAATAGTGACGGACCAGCACGTGGAGCCTCTGTCAGTGAAAACGGAAAGTGGAGCCTGGGGGGGTGTTGAGTGACATCGAGCTGGCCATGCCCACCCCGGCTGCACCCATCCTGGCCATGCCCAACCCAGCCCCCCATGGTCAAA